CATACCTTTTCTGTAAATTTCACACTTGTTTCTCCTAGAAGGCATTTTCTAAAATGTAGATTTTAAAAAGTGTTTAAGTCCCTTCAAAGTAAATTTGATACATTTGGATGCCCTTGGTTTTTATACTAGCAATAGTAAGTGAAACCTATACTAAATAATCAGTACTCAACATCTTACTTTCTGTGAAGACCACTCTTTTATGTAGTTGAGGGTGTCTGTTACACTTAATTTTTCTGGTGTATTTTCTATCTTTTCTAAATTTAATCCCAGTTACATTTTGTCAGCAATAGCATTTAGCATCGGAAATGAAATTTGATGTTTCACTAAATGTTTGATGTTTGAACAGATCCAAAACATACTCTTTGTTGTCCCCACCCACCCAATGACCACTCAAGTGCGCGCGTGCATGCGCGCGCGCGCACGCGCACACACACGCGCACACACACACACACACACACACACAACACAGAGACTCAGTTATGATCATGTCTCCTAGTAAATTCGAGTTGTGTGGGCAAAAAGACTTCAGGTTGAAGTAGTGCCATGGTTACCATCTTTACCAAGATCATCTTGATATTAGATATGTTCACATATGGAAGCTATTTCTTTTAAACTCCTTAAGTAGTCAAGGATGACCCTGGAATTCTGACCCCCTGCCTCCTTCCTCCATTTTTCATGACTAGTATTACAGGTTTGGCTGAGTATTGGGGTTCATTCTTGGGGGCTTCATCACCTAGGTAAGCATCCTACAACTGAGCTACATACATATATATATATATGTTTGGATACCCGCCATGTTCCAGCTTTGTGGCAGCAGGCTCAAGACCAGAGGCCAAAAGAGCTACAGAGAGCAGATGAGTAATGGCTGTTTGCAGAGCAGATAGTGCAGCAAAAACAAGAGACTCCCCACTCCATTCCCAGCATGCAAAGTTGGTGGTGACAGCTGACCAAGTGTCATTACCTCTGTAGAGACACAGATCTTTTAGTCACTTGCAGCACCTCAGTGTTCTTCCTCTCCTCTATACTATAGGTTTGGCAGCTCTTCTTTGATTGGTTGCATTTTTCACCTTATTTACATACTCACACTCAGCCATTCAGGGCTCCCTGGCACCTTGTGAATTCCTGCTTATCTAAGGCTGAAAGAATTTTGAAAAGATGTATTTGGGGGATTTGTACTATTATTCAGTGCTGGCTTTTCTTTTCTCGGCTGAGCACACTTAAAACATTTGCTGGGTGTTTTTTAAGCATTACCTAATTACTGTATTTCCTTCTTCATTTTTCTTTGTGGATCTAACATTAAAAGTGGGTTATTGGAAACCTTTACAAATATCACATTGTAGTCTCTTTCTCCCTCAGATCCTTTAATATTTGTCTTCTATATTTATAGCTTCTAGGTTGGATTAATGCATATTTACAATTGGCATATCCTCCTGACTAGCTGGCTCCTTCATTGTTGTATAATGTCAACAGACATCTCTTAGAACAGTGTGAACATTTATTTTGTCATATACAGTTACCTTGACCTCTCTGGTTCCCACTTTTGTGGCATGTTTCTCCATACTTTGTTACTATCTTTAAGAGCAAAGTGAATCTCCTGTATACACACATCTTTGTGCCTTTAACAATCCATTTACTTGAGATGGTCATGCCTTGCCTTTAATACCAGCTCTGTGGAGGCAGAGTCAGACAGATCTTTTCCAGTTCAAGGCCAGCTAGGAAAACACAGTAGTGCTCTGTCTCAAAAAGAAACAAAAACAAAACAAGATTCCATTCATTCATTGGGTTTTTATTGGACTTAATCCATATATATTCAGGACAATTATTGTTAGGGTTAAGTATTTTCTACTAAAACTTTGTTAACTGTTTCCTGGTTCTTTTATAAATGTTTTATTTCTCTTTTGTGGTTAGATGCATTCTGTAGCTTTGAATTCCTTTGATTTTTCTTCTGTTTCTGGTACACATTTTTGCTTTGTGGGAATTATTCCAAGCTGATATCAACATAATGTTAATTGCTTACATCTGTATACTTTTTATCTTCCACTCCTCTATTGTAGGTTTGGATATCAGAATTCCTATCACTCTGATAAACTTAGCTGAGTCCTTATTAATTTCTCCCCCTCTTTTAGACCTCAGAATAGGGTTGAAATTGCTTTATACGCCCCATTCTACCCCATAATCTGAACGTGGTTCTAAATGAGTCACGTCATTGTCTTGTATTTTTTGTTGAACTTTGAGTTAACTGGAATAATCCTTTATCAATTTCTGTAAGGCTGGGGTGGTAAAAAAAAGTTCCTCAGCTACAGGGTGCCTGGAAGCCTGTGTATTCTCTCATTGTCGAAGACAATTTTGATTGCTAAAACATTTATGGTTAGAAGGATTATATTTTTTGTTTCAGCACATTAAAGATATTCTTCTGTCTCTGGCTTGCTGAGTTCCTGATGAAAAATCTGTTAATAATTAAACCTTTGACTTTTATGTGATTTTTTTTTCTTTTTTTCTTATCTCTTCTGTCCACAGAAAATTTTCCCTTTGGCTTTGATCTGTCTCTCCCTGTCGTCTCTCCCTGTCGTCTCTCCCTGTCGTCTCTCCCTGTCGTCTCTCCCTGTCGTCTCTCCCTGTCGTCTCTCCCTGTCGTCTCTCCCTGTCGTCTCTCCCTGTCGTCTCTCCCTGTCTCCTCTCCCTGTCTCCTCTCCCTGTTTCTCCCTGTCTTTCTCTGTCTCCGTGTGCGCCTGTGCGTGTGTGTGCCCACTCAAGCATAAGAAGATGAGAAATCAGTATGAGGTATGTTCCACCTTAGCTTGTTTTGGGACAGAGTTTCACTGTGTAGCTCTGGCTGTCCTAGAACTCACTATGTAGACCAGGCTGGCCTCAAACTCACAGAGATCCACCTGACCCTGCCTCCTGAGGGCTGGGATTAACAGTGTGTGCCATCATTCCCAGCCATGTTAGTTTTTGTAACAAGTCTCAATGAACTTGGAGCTTTCCAATTCTATTAGATCAGCTAGTCCACAGGCTCTAGAGGTCCTCTTGTTCCCATCTCCCCAGCACATGTATTACAGATGTTAGCCTCCATGCTTGGCTATTTACATGGGTGCTTGAGATCTGAACAAAACTCACATGTTTGTGAGACAGGTGTTTACTAAATCACATCCCCAGTTCCTGGACTTGATTTGTAATAGCTTGGATGTTCTGGGTCTTGTAATAGCTTGGATGTTCTGGGTCTTGGTGAACTATTTTCTGGTTGTTTGAGTCTCTGTACTTCCTGTGTCTGTATTGATGTTTCTCTTCAGACTAGGGAAGTTTGGGTCCTTCACTTCTTTCTTTTCTGATGTTTACTGAACATTCTCATTCATTTTCCCTCCTCCTCCTTTCTCCTTTCCTCTCTTAACTTCCTCCCTCCATTATTTCCTCCCTCTTCTTCCCTGACTCCCCTTCCCTTCCTCTCCAACCCTTTCTTGTTTATTTATATATTTACCAACATATATTTTGGTATTTGGTTTTTGTTTGTATATTCCTGTTCTTAAAGAGAATTTTCTGAATGCTTTGTATCACAGACTCCTTTCTTTGGGTCTGGAGTTGGAGCTTTGATAGCTACTTTTGTGGGTGGTATTGACTTCCTGAGAATTTGTAGCCTTGCATCCTTATAATGGTACCTTATAATGGTACCCGCAAGTAAGAGAAAATGGTCCTCTCCTAAGACCCCTTGGGGAATAACTGCTGGAAACAAGCTAGTTCAATTATGTGCCAGTATCCTGCATCATCCATACAAAATGATAAGCTCTGGATGTAGCAGAAAGATTTGTGCTTCATAGCCATGCCCCTCTAAGGAGACTGCTGAGAAGTCTTCTAGAACAAGGGCTGGAAAGGAGCCCAGGTCATGGCAGCAAGGTGACCACTGATGGCTCTGGCCTGCAGCTAAAGAATATGGCCATTGGGCAATCTGGGGCTCTGAGTCAGTGATGCTGGTGTAAGCACATCCTTCTAATTGCTACACAGTCAATACATTCTTGATGATGGCATTGACTTTCCAGGCACAGTCCTGCTTGAGCCTGGGGAACCTCACAACCATTATGCTGGGCTCCCTGCTGATACCACACTGGCCAATCATACTGTCCTAGAGCCCCTGAAAGCACACTGACCAAACTTCCAAATATAGTCTGGGGGAATATAGTCTGAGGATCAGTCCAGGTTTTGGAATTTGAATTCTCAGCATTCACTGATATATGGTATCTATGTGAAAATACAGTTTTCTGCACTCTGTAAAAATGCATGTAAAGTGTATACCACCCAGTGATGGCATATGCTATATACATTATATGCTATGTACCTATATACATTAAGCTTTATCCAGTATTCGTTTCCAGCCTTTCCCCTCAAAACTACAGCTGCAAAGACACTGAATCATTCCTAAGAGCAGGTGTTAACTTCCTCTATCCTGCCTAGCATAAAACAGTTATTTTCTACTTTTGTGTGTGGTGTGCATGGGTGTATGCTGTTTGTGGTTACAGCAGTGTATGCATACTCAGGCTGTAAGTTGATGGCGGAATCATGCTCTTCATTCAGCCTTCTATATTGAGAGAGGGTCTCTCAATCAAATCCAGAGGTCAGCAACCTGGTTAGTCTCACTAGCTGCCTTGCTCAAGGGGTCCTCTACTCAGCCTTCTGAATCTAGAATCATGGATAATGAACTACTCCACCTGGCATTTATGTGGGTTTCTGGAGATCTGAACACTAGTCTTCACGATTGGCTCAGCAAATGCTTTAACCACTAAGCAATCCTCCGACACCAAAACAATTTTATTTTTTAAAAGGTGTATTTCTTTGAGGAAAACTTAACAAAACAAAAATCCCCATTAATTTAGAGTGAATATATGTGCTATATTTTAATTTCCTATTTTCTCTCAGCTTGTTTCTCTAGACCTAAATTTTAATGTGGCCTCAATAGCTCAATGAAGACTGGAATGTGGTCAAAAAATCAGGACAAAGATCGCTGGTTTGACTAGTTTGGAAGCAGTTTTAATGGAGATGAAAATGTTTATCAACGAAACACAGGTACCCCAAAATACAAATCAAAATATCATCTTCAGCTGCATAGCAAATATGATTTAAGAATTTAACATCATTTGATCACGAGCGTAAATATAAGTTCACCATAAATAAATGTAAATTCATTATACAAAAATCCCCAACAACTCTTAATACAAATATGGTACACATTTGACAGTTTCTGAAACAGAATTCTTTTTAAAACATTTTAAAATCTAAGCTTTTTTCTTGATTTTTAAATACATTAAAAAAAAATCAAAAAGGTGGGGAAGGGGACAAGGGCCACTAGAGAGGAAACATTAAAGTTGTCCTGTATCCATAGACAAGTGCTGAGGAAAAGAGAGCTTGGCCCTCAGTTATTGGGATCAAATCTTGAGGCTGCAACTCTTCCCAGAGAGTCCACTTTTGGGGTCACAAGTGCAGGGTGGGAGGGATGAGCTAGCTGCCAGAATGGCAAACTTGGGAAAGGAATGGCCCAAGTCTCTACAGAGCAGTGATGGAGGACTTAGAATGAACTGAGTCAAGTACTACTCCCAGCCAGGACTAGAGATTTGGAAGATGGACTCTGCCTTTAGGATGTATCTACGGTCATCAAAGGAGACAAGAGATCAGACTAGGAAGTACCAGTGCCAGATAGGAGGGTTGACCAGCTTCCATTTCAAACCATGCCCCTAAACTACAATCTAGTTCTTGTTTAGAGAGACCTCAGAGTCTAGAGTTAGAGTTTTCCTATCTATAGCAGATTCTATAGCAGGGGATCTGAATCTGTGATGTGTAGTAGAGTAACTACAGATGCAGATCTTCTGGCTCTATTCCCAGAGATTCAGACTTACTACATCCGAGGCACGTCTAGAAAAGAACACCTAAGCGTATGCCCCTCAAGGGTTCTGATTTATGTGATCTCACTGTGGAGTACATGGCTGTGTCTCTCAAAAGAGCTGGTTATGCACATTTCCACTGTTCTGTGTGGTTAAAAAGTGATGGATGTTAGTCATCTTCCTGGGGGAGGGGCTGGCTACTCCTCTAGAGTACCTATAGTCCATTTCCTATATTTTTGGGGCTAAGGGTTATGGCCTCTCTCTGCCTGTGAGATGACTAGCTCTGTATGGAGACAAGGACATCTCCTACAATGTGGAGATTCTGCAGGGGTGTTTTAGTCTGGAAAATAGAAGTTAATCACACCCCTGTGACAGAATCTCTACCCCAGCACTGAGCATGTGCAAAAGGAAGAGACCAGGAAGTTGGGAGCAAAAGAATAAACTGTTCCCAGAACCTTTCAGCAGCTGACATGATGAAAATTCCAGTTTTCTCAAAGACTTATTTTGTGAGTGTCTTGGGATTGAAAGCATGTTGACAAGCTTTTTCCTCCTTGCCTTCCTGTCTCCAAGATGTTTTAGGTGTCTGTTGAAGTAACCCCTTAATGTTGTCCTTCTTGTGGGATTTTCTTGGATGAGGTCCTATGTTGGGAAACCACTAGTTTGGTCATTGGCTAATGGTATGGTGTCATGCCATGACCAACATGTCCATTACCAATGTGGTCCAGTGCTAAGCATCTGCATGAGGAACAGAGGTGCCTCATCTTCCCACCCTGGGGACAAGGCCTACATCTCTCCTTTGGGATCTGAAGTTTTGACCTGTGCCACTTTCTTCACCTAGTCCCACTCAGTGTGATATGGTTTTGAAAGCATCCCTTCTCTCTAGGACTGTTTGCAAGGAAGCATGTCTGTAAAAGGTCCTGGCTGACATCATCTATTGTCTTGACAGTCAGAACTCTCTTCCTGGTTCACCAAGGGTCAAATCTTGGTGATGGGATCCCTACCATCTAGAGCAGGAAGCAGTATGACTGGGGAACTAGCCAGGGAAGCCACAGAACACAGGCCAGTAAGCTGGGGCACACAGTTGATATCTCTGCTATGGCTACGCTCTTTTCTTTGCAATCCCTAAGACTAGAGCGCTGAATCACATATGGATACTGGGTAGGAGGTTACAATGTTGAGAGGTGGTCTTGGGAAGCAATCACAGATGAGGTGGGGAGCTGCAGGATGGAAACAGTAGCTCTTAGATATAGTTAAGGTTAAAAAGAGGAAAACACACACTGCCTTGTGTTTTTGTTGTTTTTCATTTACACTATGGAAACCCCACCATGGAGATACCATGGGAGAACATGCAGGAGCCCAGCCCTTGGGAGTATGCAGACGTGTTGGGGAGACTTTTTCCTTCTGGGCTGGTTCCACCACTGTCAGCTGGACCTGCTGCAGGTTGACCACTGTGCTCCCTCTCCTGCTTCCCCTCCTCCATGTTGAAGGGTATGCAGGACTTCCTGCTTAGCAGGTGGTGGCCAGTGACTGGTGGATTGGGGGCTGGAAGCAGCGGACATGCTCGACTGTGGAGCTGTCTGTCTCCACGGACTTCATGTACTTGTTCAGGATGGCGAAAACCTCATTGTTCAAGATCTGGTACTTCCTGATGCGGTCAGCCATCTTCTTCAGGGGCTGTAGAAGGATGAGGATGCTTAGATTAGGACAGGAGGAAAGGGAGAGGTGCAGAGGGGGCTGGATGGAATCCAGGTGCCCAAATAAAATGCTAAAGGTTACTGATAACCTTTGCCAAGTTTGAAAGCTTACAACAGAGCTACCATAATCAAAACAGTGCAGTGCCATCATGAAGGCCAGTGAAACAGAACTGTAAGGCTAGAAACAAACCCTTGTGTGCCGAATCAAACGACTCTGAAAAGGATAAGACCATCTGAAGTGTGGGTGTGTCAGGGGCAACCTTCTAACAAATGCTGGGAAAATTGGATACCAACATGCAAGAGAATGCTGAACCATGATTTCTATACTGTATACAAGAATAAGTTGGAAATGGATGAAAGACCTTTGTATGGATTAAACTATGACATTCTTAGAGGAAAGCACAGGAGTAAATCTTCATGATGTTGGATTTGGCAGCCAGTGCAGAGTGAAATGAAGACTTCAGAGCATTAGTCATTCATGCAATGAAAGGATTTGAAAAACAGGTAAGAAGTTGTTGTTCTGAATATATAAAGTGCTTTGACCTAGGGTCAGTAAAATGGCTCAATGCATAAAAGCACTTGCCAAGCCCGAGGATCTCAGTTCAATTCCCACACGCTACATGTTGGGAGGTGAGAACTGACTCCAGTAAGTCGGCCTCAGACCTCCACACATGGCACTGTGGCAGGTATGTTTCTCCAAACATACATGAATGTACACAAAGGAAATACAAATGTGAGAAAATTTAAGCAGCAATTAAAAATTAGAGAAAAGACTTAAAGACATTTCTCTACAGCAGATACACAAAGCCCAATAATCTATGGAAAATTGGATTCTTGAGTGTTATTGGTGCACTGTAAAATGCATCCAATAGGGAAAACGGTATAGCCATTCCTAAAGAAATTAAAAATAATTACTAGATGGCCCAGCACATAGACTTCTGAGTGGATATTCCAAAGAGAAAGGAGAGATTCGGGTGCCTAAGTTCACGATTTATTATTATTCCTAACTGCTAATGGTTCAAGGCAAGGGTCCATCAGTGGATTGTGTTTTGCATAAGATGAAATGGTAGTTAACCATAAAAGCATGGGACTGTGACATACTGTAACAAGATAAGCCAGTCACAAAGGACAGATACTGTGTCACTCCCCTTATATAAGGTACGAAGAGTCCAGAGATTCATGGACACAGAGAGAAAAATGGTAGTTGCCAGTTATTTAAATGGACACAGAGCTTCAGCAGGAGAAAGTGAAAATGCCTGGGGTATGATGATGTTGGCTTCAAGACACTGTGAGGGTATTTAAAGTAACACTGAACTGTATAGAAGGAAATGGTTAGTTACAATGACGGCCACTCTTAAAATCCTTTGTGTGTGTGTGTGTGTGGGGGGGTCCTACTTCCTTCTCTCGTCTGGCCCCTGGCCATCTCCTTTGTGCCAGACACTTGGATGAGTGGTTCTGGGCTGTGTGGTAGCTGCTTCCCATGTTTTGAATCCACCCAGGCCACGCATCTCATGTGCTGCCAGCCATCCTACATCTAGCCCAAGTCCCAACTCCTGCGAAGACTTCTGACCTTATCTCTACCACTACTGTCTAGTTTAAGGGCTCTGTTTTCCCACAGCACCCATCCTCTCCCAGTGTCTGGCATGACTCAAGTGTCCAGTGTGCTATGGAAATGATGGCTAGGTTCAGCAGGGTCTGCTGAGACGGGGGGAGAGACATTTGAGACCAGGAGTCCAGGCTTGCTTTCAGGGTGACCCACTCTATCTTGGCATGTTACGTGCAGGTCCCCAACTTCTGAATGTCTGAAGACGGCCTGTTGCCAGGCCCGGCTTCCCAGGGCAGCCACATCTGCTTACCACGTTCTTAATGATTTCGTCCTTCCCGTCCTGCCTTTGCACCTTCAGCAGATGGTAACAGAAGTCAAACAGGTCAAAGCGCCGCTGCTGGCCCAGCAAGACAATGATGGAGCAGCCAGCCCAGTTCAGGCCGTCACCGAAGCACTGCCTGGAGGAAGGGGAAGGATAAGGTAAGAAGCCGAGAAGAAAGGTTCTCTCCAAAGCCAGCAGTACAGCTGCTGAGCGGGCCTGCCCTTGGGTTAAGACCTTTCCTTTGCAAAGTAGGTACAAGGAAGCCATGAGAGTGGGTTTCTTGTTCTTACAGGGACTTTGGTTATATTCTGAGTTCTTTTAACCATAGGGGGTGGTGAGCCCCAAGGAAACAATAAATAGTTTAGACAAAAACATGACTACACACACACACACACACACACACACACACACACACAAACACACACACACTCTCACACACACACTCACACATGGGGAGGCCAGAGGCTGATGTCAGGTATCCTCTTCAATTCCTCTCCACCTTGATTTCTCAGTCTCTTCCTAAATTTGGCTTGCCAATGCAGTGTGAGAGTAGCTGGGTGATGAGCTTGCAGGCATCCTGTCTCAGCCTCTGTAATGTCAGGATTACAGGCCTGTGATGCCTCACTTGGCTTTTCTGAAATGTGTAGTTTTAATCCTGGGCATGGATTGCACACATGAGTGCAGGTTCTCATAGGAGGCAGAGGCCAGTGGCAATTGGTCCTCCTAGGGCTAGACTTGTAGGCAACTGTGAGCCATCTAACATGGATGCTGGGCTTTGAACTCTAGTCATCTGCCAATAGCAGTACTCTTAACCACTGCGCCATCTCTCCAGCTCCTCTCCTGGTTTTTAAATGTGGCTTCTGGAGGGCAGAACTCAGGTCCTTAAGGCTTGCCTGGAGCCATCTCCTCAATTCTAACCAGCCTTTGAGACTTACATGCAGGCTACAGGAATAAGATACGACTCATACAGGAGGCCAAGAGAGTCCCCGGGCTCTCATAAAGCCCTATTGTGGGCGTCAACTCCCAAGAGACGTCTGGATGGCTGTAGGGCCACCCTTATGTCATTTCTTCTGTTCAGAAATTAGCAGCCCAGCCTATTCTAGATGGGTCGCTGCTTCTCTGTCACAGGGTTGGAAGGACATAACCCCCACAGCTTGCTGGCCTTTCTAGTCCCATTCCAGCACTACTCCCTCCTGAAACCCTGATCGGTCCCGTTGCCCCACCCCCTTCCTTAACTGCATTGGTTCGCAAAGGGCCAGCTGGCCACCTCTGCCACAACCCCCACAGCACGAGGCTAGATAGGTAAAGGAAGAAGGGGGCTCTCCTCCTGTTTTCCCTGACAGGACTGGGCGATCCAAAGGCTCCTCTTGTTCTGAGGGTGGGTGGGTAAAGGGGGATGGTGAGGTTCCTCAGGCTGACATTCATGGGGCTTTCTCACCTTTCACTCTTGAACCCCAATTCTGCTGAGTCATTGCTCTGTCTCCTGGACTTCTCATTCCCCTTCACAGACCCCATCCCAGACATGGCTACAGGATCAGCTCTAGTCTGAGAATTCTGGTCTGACACCTCACCCAGCTCCGTTCTCTGGTGTCTGCATCCTGCCCCACATGACAACTTGACATATGTGCTTCCAATTCTGTTTGTCCCTTTTAACCTCTGGAGGCCAAGAACAGCCTGCTTCTGCCTGGTCGAGCATGGACACAGTGACCAGTATGCTTATTCTTACTGTTCATGCCACTCAGTCCCCGTTCTCCTTTCTGGCTAGCCCCAGGCACCCCCAGGGATGAGAGAAGTAGAGGGCATGTAGCCGGTGTGTGTGTGGGGAGTTGGGGTGGGTGTACTCACTCAGCTGTGAACTCGTTGGTCCCCACAGGGATGCAATAGACAAACTGCATGGCACTCCACAGCCGGTGGAATTCAACACACTCGTCCACGTGCATGACACCATTGGTGGGCGGCGGACCCCTCCAGATGGGGTCCTGCAGGTAGCTCCGAATTCGGGTCAGGATGACTTCAAACATGGACAGGCCGCAGCATAGCCTCTCCTTGGTCAGCAGGTCACCCTCCCGAGCGATGGCGATTTGCTGGGATGGGAAGTGTATGTAAACATTGCAGCCACATCTGAGATCACATCTGCCCCACCTCCACTCGAGAGTCCTAGAATCCCATTGCTAACCACATCTAGAACTTGTTTACTAGGACTGGTACCCTGCCCTGAGCAGGGCACTGAGCGTAAGAACTAGAGTACCTGGAAGCTTTATAGAAACTGTCACTCATGGCAAGTAAAATCCAGGCACCCCCAGTAGAAGACTGGTTTTTAAAAAATGGTTTTTAAAAATGATCTGACCCCATACTGGTTTTAAAGGCTGGTTGGGACTGAGGCGATAGCTCAATGCAAGTATAAGAACTGAAATTCTGTCCTCTAGAACCCATGATAAGAAGCCAGGCATGATGCATGTGCCTGTCATCAAGGCACTGGAGAGGCCAATATGGCTAATTGGGTACACACAAGTCAGAAGTAGTCCTGCTTACAATGTAGCACTGCTAGAGTGTGCATTTACAATGTAGCACTGCTAGAGTGTGCATTTACAATGTAGCACTGCTAGAGTGTGCATTTACAATGTAGCACTGCTAGAGTGTGCATTTACAATGTAGCACTGCTAGAGTGTGCATTTACAATGTAGCACTGCTAGAGTGTGCATTTACAATGTAGCACTGCTAGAGTGTGCATTTACAATGTAGCACTGCTAGAGTGTGCATTTACAATGTAGCACTGCTAGAGTGTGCATTTACAATGTAGCACTGCTAGAGTGTGCATTTACAATGTAGCACTGCTAGAGTGTGCATTTACAATGTAGCACTGCTAGAGTGTGCATTTACAATGTAGCACTGCTAGAGTGTGCATTTACAATGTAGCACTGCTAGAGTGTGCATTTACAATGTAGCACTGCTAGAGTGTGCATTTACAATGTAGCACTGCTAGAGTGTGCATTTACAATGTAGCGCTGCTAGAGTGTGCATTTACAATGTAGCGCTGCTAGAGTGTGCATTTACAATGTAGCGCTGCTAGAGTGTGCATTTACAATGTAGCGCTGCTAGAGTGTGCATTTACAATGTAGCGCTGCTAGAGTGTGCATTTACAATGTAGCGCTGCTAGAGTGTGCATTTACAATGTAGCGCTGCTAGAGTGTGCATTTACAATGTAGCGCTGCTAGAGTGTGCATTTACAATGTAGCGCTGCTAGAGTGTGCATTTACAATGTAGCGCTGCTAGAGTGTGCATTTACAATGTAGCGCTGCTAGAGTGTGCATTTACAATGTAGCGCTGCTAGAGTGTGCATTTACAATGTAGCGCTGCTAGAGTGTGCATTTACAATGTAGCGCTGCTAGAGTGTGCATTTACAATGTAGCGCTGCTAGAGTGTGCATTTACAATGTAGCGCTGCTAGAGTGTGCATTTACAATGTAGCGCTGCTAGAGTGTGCATTTACAATGTAGCGCTGCTAGAGTGTGCATTTACAATGTAGCGCTGCTAGAGTGTGCATTTACAATGTAGCACTGCTAGTGTGTGTGGCACACTAGGCTCCTGATGAGTAGCCACTGTTCAATTCTACAGATCTATTATTATTTCTAGTTCACAGATGAGGAAAACTGAGGCTTAAAAGGTGCAGCCAAGGAAAGGTACAAAGCTTAGATTCTGCTCAATGTAGCTTAGATCGATACGTTAAATTATGACATGAATTAAGCAAGTTGCAGAAAATGAATAGCATTTGCTATAATCCTACCAAACACCAACACAACTCCACAAATGAATAAAGCATGCATGAGGTGTGTGTGTGCATGCAGAAGACATTTCAGAAGGAGTCAAGTTAGTCATGGGTGCAGATGGGCTGGGAGAAATGGGTGAGCTTTTTATATTAGTTTTGTACAGTGGAATGTACTAGAAGCATATGTTACTGCTTTAAAATTTGCCACTGACTTCACAGAGTTATTTTCTCTTGTTAGAAACCTTTCTTTAACAATGGTGAATGGTCTCTATTAGTAATTCAAACAGTCTTCTCATCTGGTCCTGGCTACTGCACATCGAGTAATCAGACAGGCACACAGGCACATCAAACACATGGCCGCCCTGTGTGCTCTGAGTGAAAACATCTAAGAGCAAAGGTGCTGAAAGCCATCTGCAAAGCACATATTAAAATCTAAGGTCAAACTCAGGTCTTCTCGTCTGGGAACAAAGCTAAAGAAAGCTAGCTTCTAAGACAGCCAGATTCGTAGGACACACATGGGATCAGCTCCCAGTGGGAAGAAGGGTTGGGGGAGGAGGGCATTATTATGTAGGGGGCTGGGAGGTACCACCTGACCTTTCCCTCAATGTTCTCTTCCTTGGAGACCTTTCCCCTTGGGGCAGCTGCTAAGTAAACCCAGGGAAGAAAATATATCAGGGAGTATAGCCTGTGATGAACATGGGCCATGCATATTGTTGTCATGACAACTACAAAGTGAAAAGGCCTTGGAAGAAAGTGAGTTGGAGAAGAGCTGGTGGATATGTGCTTGAAACACAAAGGGGAGAGGGTGCCCTGATTCATGGTGAATCAACTTGATTCCACAGCTAGCTAGAAAGGGTATTCCAAGATATAAACCTGGCACTTGGATTCTGTTCTCAGCTCACCACATTCGAGGAACACCTGTCTGATACCCTGGAGATGCTCAGTGAACTAAGGACCCATGTATGTTCTCATCAGCCGATTGAGAGACTTCTGGTATTCCAATTAACCCATTGTCTGTCGTGGGTGGGTGGGTAGAAACACTGGCAAATGGCTTTGTAAAACCTGTGGTTTGACTTTGAGCTCCCCATCCACCACAGCCAATGAAAGAGGCCTTGTCCCCTTTCTCTGAAGTTTTCACCCTTCTGTTTCTTTCTGTGAGCCATAAAAGTAAAATGCATTCACTGGGCAAAATGTTGGGGGAAATTCAAATAACATATAAGGTATTATTCCACTTATCCCGTCACTCAGAGATGAGCTTTTTTAAAATACAGATATATGAATGTTGTTTGCAGTTATGAATATGTATACAGGCATGAATATAACAGATTATTATACTACATTTTCATTTAGCACATTCTAATTTAAAAACTCATTTCCATAATACATCCAGCGCCGTGATTTTTAGATGGCTATCTAAAAACAGCCTCTGATAAATGTACTCAGTCCTCTACCCTTGCTGGTTATTTTAAGTTATTCACAAATCTTCAGTGTTGGGGACAATCCTAAAGCAATTGCCCACATACAGGACATGCGGTGAGCATTGTCTTCTGTCATGTTGTTGGGTGAATCCTGCTATTAGAGGGGGTCAGAGGATGTAATTACTTTAAAAGGCTTTTGCTACAAGATATTGAGCCTCAAGAAAGCCGCCCCATAACTTCCCAGGTGAAGCCCATTCCTGTACTCCCTCCAGACCAGCCAATATGCTCTAAAGAAAAAGGCCATTCCAAAATGGAGAGATGAAATCTACCTTGACCTTGGAGTATGCACTTCAGATGGCTGGTGATGTTGACCTTTTTCTATGTTTGGTGGCAAATTTATTTTTTAAATGTGAGTGTTTGCATTTGCCCTTTGGTAATCATTTTGTGGGTGTGTTATGTGTGTGTAGGTCAGAGGTCAATTTTGGGTGCCCCTTCTGTTAATTTTTTTTTCAAGACAGGGTTTCTCTGTGTAGCCCTGGCTATCCTGGGTCTGGCTCTATTGACCAGGCCGGCCTTGAACTCAGAGATCTGTTTGCATCTGCCTCCCAAGTGCTGGTATTGCACCACCACCTGGCTGTAGATTTCGGTATCTTCATCTGATGTCTTTGCTTATTTTTTGAGTCATTGAACCAGAAGCTCAAGTATTGACTAGACTGGCTGCCAGCAAGCCCCTGAGATCTGCCTGTCCCCTCCTGTTGCTGGGGTGAGAGATGTATCATCTCCTGTGGATTGTATGTGGGTATTGGGGAGTTGAACACAGGTCTTCATGTTTGCATGGAAAGCACTTCACCCAGTGAATGATCATTCTACTCTCATTTCCTTTTTACTTTGGGGGGAAAAAGCCATCTAGTGCTTGATGCAAATATGGCTTGTTCGCATCTATGGAGGATGGTGCTTAAAAAAGCTCTTACGAGCATGGCTTCTCAATATTCTTTGCATTGGCCCTTTGCATCTTTTGGAATTCTGATTTATTCTTTAACAGTCAAGAAATGCAGACCCTACCACATTGTGTGCACTTGAGTGTGTGTGTGTGTGTGTGTGTGTGTGTAAATTTGCTAACTTTTCTGCATATATCAATAAGGTCAGGCTTTCCTGCTGTTTCCTCTGTACATTCAAAAGTGCAGGCAAACTCAGAACAGATGAACAACTACAATGAGACTCTTGGGAAGAAAACAAAGCGCATACAGATTTTTACCGAGTGGAATATCTGTAAAGATACCTTCCTTCCCTGATGAGTGTCTGGACCCTTTGTCAACCTGGAGATTATCTTCCCAGCTGTCAGTGGCAGAACACATTCTACAAGATACTGATTTTTAAAAATGTAGCCAGCTAAGGAGGGGAAACAGCTATCATCCCATTTCACAGATAGGGGAAAACAAAGATGGGGAAATGTTTCATGTGACATTGTGTGACACTTCAGGCTAGAGCTAGGACAATGGTGCTTGGCTGAAAACCAGGTCACTTCAGTCTGTTCAGGAACAAATGCAAACGTAACTCTGCTCAGACTTTCATGGTTTAAATTTTCCATGATTGTTATCTGTCACTGACCAAGATACCACACCAAATTTGGCAGAGAAAACCTCGTGGCTGCTTCAGCGTTCACACTTGTTGGCATTTCTTTGGCTTATGGGCTGATGAAGTTGTATTATGTATGTATGGATGTATGCATGCATTCAGTATGTGTGCACACATGTTTGGCATATGTATAGAAAAGAAGACCACTTGTATGAGTCATTCATTCATTCCTTCCCTCATATGGGTCCTAGGATCAAACTCAGCCTGGCAAGCTTGGTAGCAAGTGCCTTTACCCACTGAGCTATCTCACCGCCCTCAAGTTTTACTCTGTAATTTCGTTTTCCTTTTCGCATATTACCTACATACATGTATCTTGACCCTACCCTACAATCTTCTCCATCCTCCTTTCCCAGTCCCTAGTAACCCCTGATTCTACTTTCAGGTTGATCTGACTATAGTGGTAGAAGTAGACAACTTACCAAACTGGCACGACCTCTCACTAGGCTCTTGTTTGTCAAATACTCAACACCGGGTAAACTGATATTTCTATCAGTCCAGAGGAAAGGTGTTCACCAAATGCACAGCCATGGGTGGAAACACATGCCAAGCACTCCCCCTCCCCCCAGAAGCTGGATTCTTACAGGATGACACCCTGAGAGCAGCAGACATGCTGGCATGCCACTGGCTCGGGAGATTTCTCCCTAAAAGGAAATCGTTTTAGAGGATTTCCTCTGTGCAACTTCTGCTGCCAAAAAAAAAAAAAAAAAAAAAAAAAAAAAAAAGTAGGAAGACTCTCTTTAGTGTCTTGAGTTCTCTGCTGTGAGCCAAAGGCTCAAACTCCTATGGCTGGACACTACTTCCAGTGGGAGCCTGACACCTGTGCAGTTAGGGCTTGTCATTGTGGGGAATGGCTACCTCTTGCCCCCTGCTGAGAGTATGGGTTCTTCTGGCCATGGTGATATCCCCAGAAGGGAGCATGAGTCCAAGGGTGGCTTTAAACCCAGAACCACTATGGTGGCCAGTGTGGTCAGAACACAAAGCAGATGGGTCATTCCTAGGGTGTCCTGTGCTACCTCACCCCTGCTCACCTCCAAATGGAGGCTCACTTACATCAACTTGAAACAGAAACAACATTTTGGTGCCTTCCCCTATTTGTCTTTTGTTCTGCCTCCCTCCAGAGTCTGTGAGTGCTCCAAGGGCAAGTGTCCTCCCTTACCTAATTTAGTGTCCACAGTAACTGGTGCAGTTTTTCAAAAGTTTAACTTTCACAGATTCAACATGAGCCCAGGCAACTTTGAAGATCTTAGAACGTTACAGATAAAACTCAAATTGCCTTTGATTCTTTGTCTTCCCACATAGTCCCTATCTCTACCTGTCTTCAGAGTTCACCATGGTGAACTGGTGTGCTGGATAACTTTATGTCAACTTAACCTGAAGCTATCAGAGAGGTAGGAATCTCAATTGAGAAAATGCCTGCACAAGAGCAATTTCTTCATTAGTGATTGATGGGGGAGGGCCCAGTCCGTTGTGGGTGGTATCATCCCTGGGCTGGTGGTTCTGAGTTCTCTAAGAAATCAGGTTGAGCAAGCCATGAGGAACAAGCCAGTAAGCAGCACCTCTCCATGGCCTCTGCATCAGCTCCTGCCTCCAGGTTCCTGCCTTGACTTCCTTTAATGATGAACAAGTATATGGAAGTGTAAGCCAAATAACCCTCTCTTCTCAAAATTAGATTTGAAACATTTCAGAAGTTTACAGAGGATATTTTACTTACGTGCATTTGGTATGTAAATGTTCTTAAAAACCCTATGTGAAATGTAACTTGAATTTAAGATCTGGTCTCATTGAGTGATGCACATAGATTTAATTTTCCTTTTTCATTATGCATTTAACAATGCTGTAATTTTTCTTTTTCATTATGCATTTAACAATGCTGTATCTACTAGTATAGAGTGCTTACACAAAATGCCACATTCTACTGAGCTAGGACTTCAGCCAACAAGACACATTACCACACCTTCTCCAGAGAAAAACACCTAGGTGTGAAGTGTGGACTCTGAATGGAGTTTGAGTTTTGATAGATGGTGTTGCAGAATTCTTGGTACCTGGCAGGGCTGTGATAGGTACTATTTTAAGTAGACTTCTTCTTTCTTAGCACAACTCCTGACACTGGGAGAAGAAAGAACTCAAGCCTGGGAGGAAACCAACCTCATCCCAGCCTGCTCCAGTTTTAATGGTATTGGATATACTCTTCCCTTCTGTGTCTTAGTTTCCCTATCTGTAAAATGGGGAGGTTGAGCCCCAAATGCTCCATCCTTGGGACCCTTTGGGCCGGTAATACAGGGTTTGTACCTGAGGAGTTCCCAGCCGTTCTATCAGGGGGACCAGGTGAAGTGGGGCATACTTGGCTTCCAGGCGCTTCATTCGGACTTCCAGGCGCTCTCCCTCTGCAAAAGAGGTAAAGGAACAGAAAGTATGTGACCATGGGTGGAAGATGTCTCAGAGGACCTGGTGCTGTCATTGTGTCCCCCAAACCAGGATAGAGTGTGCAGAACTTCTCCTTGGTTCTGGAGACTGTGATGAGAATTCATTATGAGAGATTATCCCTCCGTGAGCTTGGGTCAATAACAGAAGCATCTGTCTAGTGCAATGGTGGGTGCCCTGTCACTCAAGCAGTCTGAACCTAGGCTAGATTGAGTGACATAGTAAGGCTACCTTTGAAGGAGCAAGGCCTGGAGTGCCATTTCCAATCCCTTAATGATTCCACAGGCATCCAAAACATTAAACTCCTTCCTGGATGACTGCAGTCTGAGTTGAATGGGATTAGGACACGAGCACAGAGATGGGGAAGTGAGGACTTGAGTTCAAATCTCCAGAACCAGATGAAAGCTGACGACGAGGAAGCATGCACCTATAATCCCAGCACTCTCCCAGCAAAGATGGGAGGTAGAGGCAGGAGGCTTCCTAGAAGTCTGCAGGCCAACTAGCCTGGCACACACACTGGCAAACAAGATGACACCCGAGACGGTCCTGACTTCCACAGGCACCCTACGGTACACGCTGTCAATACTTACACCAGTATTTGTTTAAAAGGTGAGTATTATCAAATGCAAGGGGGCTGTCACTGCTGGTGGCGGTTTCTCACCTTTGATATAGACTCTGGGCAGGATGTTTTGGAAGGGTGCAGCATGCAGCAGATCACAGACTTCCTCCTGAGACTGCAGAGATGGGGGGAGAGGAAGAGAACAATTTTCAGTTTAAATTAGAAGAATTTCATTTCAAAAATCTGTTGGCTCTAGTGCTTGAGTTCTCCTTACTGTGTAACCTTGGTAACTTAGTGGCTTCACAGAGTCTATCCTCAATGAAGATGGGATCAGAGTGTGAGGACCCACAGAATCCATAACCTATAGCCCAGTCCCAGCTCATGAGAGAACTTACATGTCTTTACCATCATCTCATAAGGACTTTGTGTAGAGTTAAGGTGAATAGAAAGAGGGACCAGACAAAGCTGAGGGCTGCCAGACTCCATTTGGTTGGGGATGAGTTCTGTGGTATTAAGGAAGACAGCTAGGACACAGTAGGGTTGGTAAAATGCTTGACCAGAGTTTAATGCCTGCACACATGTAAAAAGCCAACTGTGGTAGTCTGTGCATATGATCCCAGCCATGGTGAGGTAGAAATAGGCAGATCCCTGGGACTCACTGGCCAGCTAGTCTACTCCACAGTGAGCTACCTTGTCCCCAAAATAAGGCGAACTGCTCTTGAGGAGTGACATCTGAGGTTGACCACTAATATGCATGTGTGTGCATGCACACATACAAGAGATACTTGGGTCAACCCTGCCATCTGTTAATCCAAAATGACTCTGGACAAAGGTCTGTGTCTGGATTAGTGTTTTTTTTTTTTTTCTGGTCACATTAGCCACCAACCAATGGGAGAAAAGCAACCAAGGTGACAGGTTTTGATGGGGGACAAGTAAGACACAAAAGCACACTTACAAATAAAAGGAAGACTATACCACAGTGATGGGAGGGCAAAGCTGGAAGACATGGCCAACAGCCTTAATGATCAGCTCTGACCGCTGACTTTAGGACAACACGGGAGAGTGGCTAGAAAGAGTCCCTCTACTGTGTGTCTCCCTCTTCTTTCAATTGTGGGCCCCACATAAGATGAGATCCAGGATGCATTCAAACATTAACTCTATTGAATTCTTCAATAGAAGAATCAGGAAACTCAAGACTGTAGGTGCTCCACCCCAGGTATGGATGGAGCACTCCCACTGGACATCTGAAGAGCAGCAGTGAGAGGAAAATGCTGAAATACCTTCCTGAAAACTGTAGTTCAGTTCACATCCCTTCCATGGCCGCCTCCTGCATCCCTGCAGGTGATACTTGTGAGCATCCCTTGAATGTTTTTTCTCTCTGCTCACTTGTTTATCTCGCCTGCTCCCATCACTTGATAATACCCAGTACCTATGCTTCCATCCAGACTTAGACACTCAACCCCTTGCTGGAATCCTCACTGTCTTCACCCCTAAGGCTGACCATCTCCCCTCATCCCCCTGCCTGGCTTGTTCACCTTGCCTGCCTTAACTTCACCTCTCAAGTGCAGCTGACCTATATCTCTTGACTCTTTCCTCATTGCCCACTAACACTATGACTCCTTCAGGGCCGTGATGAAGTACCTCTATCTTTATCTTAGTCCCAGCATTAATTTATGATTTAAATGCCTTTTATATGATAATTTATCAATAATCACTTCAGTGGGTAAATGTTTGTTACCCCACATGAATTAAATGAAGTCATATGTCTACATGATAGCCATCCAAGCACGAGAAGACCGCCATCCACCCATCCATTCACCCAACAGATATTTGTTAAACACTAGGCACAGTTCTAGGCTATGCAGATGTGACGCTGAACAAGTTAGACTAGATCTTGTTCTCACGCTACTTAGATTATCTGTGTTCCTAAGTCTCTACAGGAATTTCAGATAGTCATCACTCACTCACGAGGGGAACAGAGAAGGAGGCAAGAGTTAATCTGGGTCACTTAAACAAATCCTTAGGAAGGAGTAGACACTGATCAGAGGCTGGACATGGGGTGGGGAGACCAGCCACACAGATTTAGTTAAGAATATTCCAGTGCAAAGGCTAAGTAAACATGGGGTACTAAAGGTGTGTGTGTGTGGGGGGTACATTACGTGGGGTTTAATGGCATGGTTTAAGTACAGATTTTATTCTAAGGGTAGAGAGGAGCTATTGAAGTTCTTGCAAGTACATATCACAATGTCACACAGTCTTGCCTTCTTACAAAAAGTTCCCCTGCCCTTGGGCATGCCTTGTTACCAGAAGGCTGTCCACTGTCTGAACCATCAAGTTCTACTCCATGTGATGAACTGACCTCGGGAGCCACCTGAGAGCTCAGGGGGAGGACAGGAAGGCTCTAAAAGAACAACCAGGAAGCTCAGTTCATTTTACATGGTGAACTTTGACTCTGGGGGAGATGAGACATTTCCTTTTCCCACTTTGAAGTCCCCCTCTCCCCCATATTTGCAAACTAGAGGACAAGGGAATCTTGGATGTGGACATCCTTCCTGCATGTCTTCTACTGTGTAAGTGTGGTTTGCCTGGGCAGGTGAGAAGGCAAGTGGGGAGTAGAGAGCCTTCCCAGAGGAGGAACCAGACAGCCATTTGCATAGTGAGGTGGCCACACACCTTGTGTGGGAGGTACTTGTTCGCTGTTCATTAGCTGAGATCATTGCTACAGATAGAAACAGGCATTGGGCACAGACAAAGGCCTGTGTGAAGGACAGAACAAGCTACCATTGTGGAGCCTGGGCTGATGGCTGACTTCCCGCTCCTCTGATCAGTAAGTCAAAGCATCTCTGAGGAGCCCACCAGGCTATTCCCTACTGGGCAGGGCACTTTCTTGGCCTATGAAGCCCACTCTGCATTGGTTCTGGCTCTGTAGCCACCTGCCCATCATAGAAGCTCTGCTCTCTTCTCCAGCGTGTTCCTGAGCCCACCTCTCTCCTCTGACTCCTCTGCTTAGTCAATGTCCTTCCTTCAGCTCTCAGTTCCAACACCACCCCCTGAAGGACATTTCTGTGAGCTCTTCACCCTGCAAGCCCTACCATGCATGTGCCATTGGCAAATCTCCTTTAAGAATCACTTTGACCTTTCAGAATTTGAGATGTCTGTATTTTATATTCCATGTGACTGATGAATACCTACCTCTCAGTGAAATCCAACTTCCATAAAGTAGAGACAACCTTCCTTTATATATTTTAGTCTATTTATCACTATGTCACCATAGATGAGCACAGTGATGGGAATAGAGTAAGTAATCAATCATCACACAGAATAAAAGCTGGAGGTTCAGGGCCTAGGGACATAGCTTAGGTGATGGAGTGCTTGTCTAGTACCCTAGTGCTTGGGAGGTGGAGGAAGGAGGATTATGAGTTGGAGGTCATCCTTGGCTACATGGCTAGTTTGAGGCCAATCAAGACTACAGGAAACCCTGTTTTAAAGTTGATTTTTTTTTTTTTGTTAAGTTAGATGTGCAGGCATGTGAGACATATTAGAATCCTGCGTTTGGGTCTTTCTATGTAGGCCTGAAGTTTCTCTTAATGATCTAAACTATGAAATATTTCTAACAAATGCTTAATATAGTGGAGTTTTCAGGTATTTTTACAATTTATACCCTCTTTTCCTTGCTTAAAAAAAACCTATAGGTATACTCACTACATTTTCTACATATATTCCTCTGAAAACTAACTTTGGTGGGGAAAAAAAATCTCTGAAGCAATTACTACTTAATTTTAAAATTGATAGCTCCCAGCATCCTGCCCCCAAGAAGGAGATGGATCATAGGCTTCGTCAGGAATGTTGTCTACATAGGTGCAGGGCAAACCGTAATTGATTGTTTTAGGGTCAAATCACTGATGCTAAAGAACATATCACATATCTGTGGTAACACAAGCATGAAGCTGACAGGAGCAAGAGGCAGTGACATTGGGGAGTGTCACACTCCTCAGTCTTAGCGTCTTCTTGGAATAGTCGTAATCCAATCATACTTCTGAAGGAAGCTGTTAGAGGTTGGTACATTCATTACTGTTACAAGGAAGAAGGGGAGAGGAAGCGAGGAGCAACAGCAGTGAGCTAGAACCTCATCTTTCTAACCAGACAGTCCTTAAATACCACACAGTACATTGCTGTTAGGACAGGTCATCTTCTATTAGGTGTTATGGAAAGAACGGGAGAGGCGGAAATGGCTGTGATTTAGGCAGGCCACGTTGGGGACTGGGGTAGGTGGGGAGAGGCTCTCCATCATAAATTTGTTTTGCTTAATTCATCACCACATGTAATTAAGAGCAATTTAAACAAAAAAGATGCAGGCGGGGAGTAAACGGTCCCTAAGGACATTTGCTTAGGACAGGGAGCCTCTAACAGTGCAATCGCCTGGTTCTTCAGGGAAGTTGAGGCAATGGGCACTAACTGAACATTTCCTGAATGCTGACTATATCCAGGGGCTTCCACTATCGTCTCTCAATACCTCTGAGCAGTGGGTCTTACTGTCGCCATCCTGTGGAGTGGAGGGGAGGACACTGAGGCACTTGGTGACACTGGCTTCCTAGCTAGGTCTACAGAGGTGTTAAGCAGTGACCCAGGCCACCACCCATAGTTGTGTGGCAGGCACTCCATACAACCATAGCTCAGACAACTGTGTGCCTCCAACAGAGCCCATGTTAAAACATTCACCAGTCCTCTGTTAAGGGTATGTGGAGGTAATTAACCCATTGTCAATTTGTAGCATGAGTTCTAATAGGTCTCTACCTCAGACCAAATGGGTGATCCTGACTCTAGGAATCCTCAGACTGAATCCTGAGACAGAACAGGGCAATATCCCGTCCTCTTCACACCGCATCCTCCCACTGCTTCAGACTGATTGCTGCTCAAACTGCCCTGGGCTCCTGTCTTCTCCTCCCTTATATTCCTCCCTCTGCTCAGCCACATCCCTTTCCGTGTCCACCTCCTTAGTGTTGTGATTAAAGGTGTGAGCCACCACCGCCTGGCCTCTATGGCTAACTAACATGGCCAGCTTTGTACTGTGATCTTCAGGCAAGCTTTATTTGTTAGATCATAAACAAAACATCACCACATAGATCCATGAGCTAACAGGTCATCTCGAGAGCTTCGTCTCTTGTAGGATCCTAA